GGCACCTCTCCCACCCAGGCCCCGCCCCTGGCAAATACCCCCTGGGGTCCTGGGCAAATACCCCCAGGCCCCTCCCCCACCCGGGCAAATACCCCCTTTGCCTTTTCTGTGGAGGTAAATACCGTCAGGTCCATACAGCCTCCATCTCCGGGTGAATAGTCTCCTCCCCAGCCTGGGTAAATACTCTCTGGTTCTATCCATCCCCTTCCCCGTGGGCCTTTCCTCCCCCATGTCTACACTCCCCGGGGTCCGTCACCCCTCTGCCTCCTGCCTGTGTACATCCCCCTCCACCGCCCATCCGGGTCCCTGCCACGTACCCCCCAGGTCAGTATCCCGGGGGCTTGTGAGGGGCAGGCTCTCCCTCCACCCCTGTGAAGCAGTTCCTGGACTGTGGTAGTTACACCCCCCCCACACACACACACACATTGCCTGGGTACCTACCCCCCTGGCAACAGGGGCTGGGGGGGCAGGAGGACGACAAACTCTTCCTCTTTCCCCATTCCCAAGGAGCAATTCCTGGACTGGAATAAATGCCCCCTCCCCCGCTCCCTCCCTGGTGAAAGACCCCTGGGGAGGCAGGGGAGGGGATCCATGGGGCAGGTTGGAGGCAGGGCTGCCTTCTCCCTGCTCTGTTGGCAGTATGTCCTGAGCTCGGGACATTGCCTTTCCCCTCCCCTTGGGGGCACAGGGCTGGGCAGATCAGGGGCTCCCTGCTGTCCATGTTCACTAACAACCCGCTGGGGCAGGGGGGTAGCAGTGGGGCCGGCTTTGCCTATTCTCTTTGTGGACTAGTCCCTGGGTAAATGCCCCCAGGGACAGAAGGGCGGTCATTGGGGTGGGAGTGGGGAGCAGCTTTCTAGAGCAGTTCAGGGATTTTGGAGCGATCCCCTGCTCCCATGGCTTAGGGGCAATCTGGCTATGGGGCAGTGGTGCTGGGGGGGGGCAGTAATGGAGTTGGGGGCGTAGTAGTGGCCTGATCAGGGGTCTGAATTCCTGAGGGGCTCAGACGGGGTGGCACGGGCTTAACACAGTGGCTAAGTGGTCCCCTCTTGTGGCTGGGGGGCCAATTTGCCCCTCGAGCTCAGTGGGTCGGGGCTTGGGCTTTTGGTGCCGGAGAGCACTGGTTCTGGCCACGCTGGCGACGTGGTGCGGGGGAGTCATTACCAAGTCGGGGGGGGCTAGGAAAGGACTATAGGGCTGAGAGTGGGATATGTGGGGGTGGGGAGCAGAAAAGTTCCCGTTGGCTCCTGTTCTCTGGGGAGTGGAGGACGTAGGGGAAACCAGTGGGTAGGGTGGTGCATTACATCAGTGGAGGGAGAAGAGAGAGCGGTTTATTTGGACCCCCCTCTCCCCCCAGGCCATAGCAGGAGCTATGGGGGGAGGAGAGGACGGCTACGCTTGTCCCTGGATTACTGTAAGGTTTGCCCTCCGCTCTTCTAAGGGACAGCTGGGGGAGAGGATGAGAGGTTGAAATACACCCCATCCATCCCCCCCACACCACGTATTCTGCCCTCCGTCCCTCCCTGCTCTGGGGAGTCTGACTCTGATACACCCAAACCCTCCAAGGATCCTCCCCCCTGGAAAATCCTCTTTGAAAACAACAGGGTGCTGTCTTGCTTTGGGGTTCGGGATATAGCCCCTCCCTCGCCAGACGGCTGCAGGCAGCCGCAGCCCCTCCCTGCTGCTTCCCAGCCCACTGGCTCCTGGGTTCTGTTCCCGGCCCTTCCTTCCCGGCTCTGAGCCTCAGTTTCCCCCTCAGTCGCATGGGGGTAGCGAGACCGAGCCACGTCCCGGGGGAGGCTGGGAAGATGGATTCACTGATGTACATGGAGATCCGTGGTCTGAAGGAGATAGGAAAAGGCGAAGAGGTTTATTGCCGTAAACTATTTGTAATGCACCACAGCACCCCCTTCTCTTCCGGCTGTCGTTCGACGTGTGCTGAAAGGGGGAGGGTGCCTGCTCATATCGGATCCAGTGCCCTCTGCCGCGTCCTAGAACCGTTCCAGACCCCCAGCGCTAGCCGTCCTCCGTGTCCATTTCGTGTGGCTTCTCTTTCCAGAACAAACGACAGGCCTGCCGGTGCTTTCAAAACGCTAGCTAAAGCCCCTGCCATACCTGGCTGGCTTGCACTGCACGGCAACCTGCTGACGTGTGTGTGTGTGTGTGCGCGAACACACGCGCGTGTGCTTTTCTCTCCCTTCCGCTAGCCACTTGTCTTCCGAACAATCTGTGCCGTTGTTTAGATAGAAACTGCCAGGGATGTACGAACGTGCAGTAGCTCGGGTTACATCTGTACATTTGTGTGCGTGTGAGTTAAACACACACACGTACCCCCGCTACTGCTCTCTCCAGAACGATGCCCTTGTTTACCAGCCTCCCACCTCTTCTCTTCTCCCTGCAGCTACTTCATAGCCCTGCTGTGATCTAATAATCACCCCCTATTTTTTCCCTCCTCCGGACCCTCCTTGAGCATCTTGGCCCGTGTCCCTGTCACCCGGGTGCTTTGGGGGTGGGGGGAGGGGGTTGGTTGGATTCCTTGCAGAACTTGGAGCTGCTGCCAGTGAGGCTGTTAGTTTCCTTTCTGCTGGCCACTGTTGGGAGTTCCCTGGTCATTAAGGCTCCTAGCGTCTGTCTGTCACTCGGTAGCAGGGCAAACTTCTCCTTAGGCAGCCCGCAATCGTGCGGTGCTGTGCTTAGGGACACGTCAGAGCTCAGGAACAGGCAGCGATGCTTCAGGACTGTGTGCGCGCTGAATGCCACGCGTACCACGTGTGCCAGGCTCTGGTCCCTGGGGCTACAAGGACCCAGCGATGCAATTTCTGTGGTCCCTGGGGACCCCAGTTCTGAATTCTCTATTGCAGGGTTTGATTCCAGAGAGGGAGCCTGAGAAATGGCTCCTGGACCCGGGGAAGGCAGCCAGCGTGCAGATTACCCACTCCCAACCTGGGGAGGCACTGACGAAAAATAACCGTACAGGACTCTTTGGAGTGATGTGTACGGATGGAGGGATCCGAGGCACAGAGACGTTAGGTGACATGCCTGAGGTCACTCTGCGAATCAGTGGCAGAGACGCCAGTCTTTTGCTCAAACCTCTAGACGACCCCACCTGCCCTGGCCTTGTGGGTGCATGCCTTCAAAGTGATGGGGGTATTCTCCCCATTTCCCAAGTTGGGCAGCAATGGGCTGCAGCCTGGGGTTCGCGACCTGGCTTCCCTTGTGAGTCTCCTAGCCAGTATCCCCTGCTGGAGCTCGGCAGCTGGATGAGGTGACTCTGGTGGAGGGAGCAGCATGGAGGGGGTGAGCAGCAGATGAGAAGGGCTGGTATGCGATTGGGGGTGAAGTGATGGGGACAGCTTTCCTCCCCCTCCCCATCCTGAGAGCTGTGCCCAAGACCCTGATGGAATTCAGCCAGTTGCAAGAGAATGTGGCCTAGTGGTTAGATTGGCTAAAGCTGTACTCAGTGGGGGTCTGAGGTGTAATGTTTATGGATCAGCGTGAGATCCTCTGATGCAAGGGGCTGTGGTGGTGGAAGCGGCCAGAGGAACCAGGTAAATGCTCTGGGTGAGCACCTGATCCCTGGGAGTCCAACAGGTGGTCTGATGTACCATCCTGAGCTGATCTCGGGGACAGGACAGGTGGGTGTATCCTGAAGGGATAGGTGCCTACTTCCCCATCATCAGGCTGGGGGTCACTGAGATCCTGCTCTTCTAATGGTGGGGCTTCTATCTCTAGGGTCCAGCAATGCCTGCGAGAAAACCTCCTTCGCCTTCCTCCGCCAGGAGCTGCCTGTCAGGCTGTCCAACATCATGAAGGAGATCAACCTGCTGCCAGACCGGGTCATCAGCACGCCCTCGGTGCAGCTGGTGCAGAGCTGGTGAGTAGGATGAACTGCCAGTCAAGGGGGTGGGGGCAGGCAGCTAATCTGTGTGTATTTGGGGAGCACGGCTAGCCTGGGGGGGAGCATGGCACTGCTAGCCTGTTTGTGTAGGGAGGCACTGCCAGCCTTTCCATATCCCACCGCACCCACCAACTCTCCTTCTCAGCAAGCCCCTTGCTCGCCTGGTCTGGGTTTACATGTAACAGATGCAGGAGGAGAATGAGGATGGCAGCTCAAAGGCCCTGCCAGGCGAGGGCCTCTGAAATGGACATACTGAGTGTGTGGGTGTGAAATGGCACGAGGGGGAGTCAAATCGCAGTGGTAACTGGGGAGGGCTGGGGGCTGAGACCGTTCATACCCAAGAGACCACATCTAGACTAGGGGCTCGTCTACACTTGAAATGCTACCGTGGCATAGCTTGCCGCTGTCGCGCTTCAGGGTAGGGACTACCCGCGCCAACGGGAGGTTCTCCCATCTGCGTAGGTACTCCGTGTCCCCGACAGGCGGTAGCTAAGCTGATGGAAGAATTCTCCCACCGCCCTAGCACTGTCTACACTGGGGCTTAGGTCGGCTTAACTACGCTGGTCGGGGGTGGGGCTTTTTCACAACCCGGCGGGATGTAGTTTAAGCTGACTCAATTTTCTAGTGTCGACCAAGCCTAGGAAAACAGGTTGTGTGTACACTCGTTAGCGACTGCGTTTTGACCTCTAGTGTAGACAGGGCTTAACCCCTGTAAACAACAGCTAGCTGACAGATCATGCTGAGAAACACCTCTTCCTAGACTAGACCTGGGCCAGCAACGGACCAGCTCATTAAATCGCGCCAGGACAATGGAACATCTGAGCGGGATCAGCCCAACACATAACAGTTGGGGGTTTTTCACTTGACGCTTCGCCCAGCCCTGGGCAGAACCCGTTTGGGTTTCGCTGAGGAGCAGGGAGATTTCCAAACCGCCCTTGGCTTTCTAGGATCGGGGGAAGTGCGTGCTCCCTGTTACTCCAGCCGTTGTGGCGCCCCCGCCAGGTCACGCTGGGTACTGCAGTTTGTGGGGCGGCGACTGTATTTCACCCTTGAAAGCCTGCCGGCCTGCAGCCCATGCTTGGATTTCTTCTTCCCCCTCGTACTGGTTTGTTGTCATTTCAAAGGCACCAGCTGCTCTGGTCAGGTCCTTATAGGTTTGGGCCTCTGTAGGCCAACAGGAGGGGGAAGAAATGGGAAATGTCCCTTTAAGATCCCCCCCCAATACCCGGCCCCCGATTACCAGACAGCAGCAGCCTGAACTTTGTCCTACATTGGGGCTTCGGGGATCACGTGATAGCTTGTTTGTGCAGCCAGCGATTTCCTCTTTCCCCTCCGTGTTCCTGGTTCCTGCTGCATCCGGCAGGGCCAGAGGCTGCTCAGACCAGCTGAATCCCACTCCCCCGGGAGCTGGGGGGCAGGAGCCTGAGTTAATAGTAACCTGGCCCTTGCCTGCAGCTAGGTTGGAATTTGCCCTCCTGGAAGGTGCATTCCTGCGTCAGTGATCCCAAGGGGCTGGCCGTTAACCCTGGCGGCGGGGGTGGCTTTTAACCCTGTGCTGCTCCTTGACCCCTTTATTATTAATCTGCAAGGTCTGAGCACCCCAGAGGTTCGAGGGACTGTGACGTTAGGGGTGGCTGGTTAAGCTGCCCCACGCGATTGTCACCTGTGGGTGGGTGCGTCTTCAGCCCTCCCATCTGTTCCTTCTTCCCCCACCCCATGTCTGTTTAAGCAGCCCCTCCTCAGAGGGGCCAGGGAGGTCCCCTGGCTGCACCCCTCTCCAGCATGGAGCTCTGCGGTCTTTCACATCTGCTCAGGTGGCTTGACCCGGAGACCCACAGGAGCCCCCATCGCAGCGCCCCTTAGAGCGCTCAGTGGGGTTTGCTGTCGAGCAGCTTCTCCCGCCCCTCTGAGCCTCCGAACGCCAATGCCCTTGCAGCCCACCTGCTATTCCAGCCCTGGGCCCTCTACACAGCTTTGCCAGTGCCCTTCCATCCTTCCCCCGTGGCTTCCCTGATGCCCTGGGCTCCCCACGTATGTCCATGCACCTCAGTCCTTTCTTGCAGCCCCCCCTGCTAGTCCAGCCCTAACCTTCCCACACCCAGTTCTACCAACATGCTTGAGTGCTACAGGGGTATCTAGACTGCTCCAGTACCCTGACCTTCCCACATCCCTTCCGTTCCAGACCAGCCAGGGCCCTCCTGCTACTCCAGTCCTTGCTTCTCTGGCGTAAGCCCCACACCATGCTGTGCTGCATGGTAGCTCTGGTGATGGGGCCCACATGAGCACTCTCCTTCCACCCCTCATCCCCTTGTGACTGGTGGCGGGATCTGCCCCGTCATCTCTGGCGGTGAACCGCTCCTGTACTCCTCCTCCTGCACCCTTGGGATCCCGTGATCAAAACTTCCTGTTCTTTCAGGACCGGTGCCTTTGCAGCTGCTTCCCTGTAACCTACCTCCCCAAGCAAATATAACACAGCCCTGGGAAACCATTCCGTCCCCACGCTTACAGCCAGCCTGCTTAGGAGTTGGCAGCTGTCATGGTGCCCCCTGGAAGGAGCTGTGTCTGGAGGGAAATTGTGACCCAGGGGAGGGGACGGGCTGCTACCGTGCTGACTGGCTGCTTGCTCGGGGCTCGCCTGGCAGACGTTCCTGATCAGCTGAGGCTGCAGAGGGCAAGGTGCGCTGCATGGCCCAAAGCCTCTGGCAAAGTGCAGGCCTGGGAAGTCGCTGGCCCCCGGCTGCTGCTGCTCTGTGCTCCTCCTTCACCTGTTGTACTTCCTATCATGCAAGGCTCTAGCTAGGCCCGTCTCCCCTGTCCCGCTGTGGGAGGAGGGCTGGGTGACCGTGCTCTAGGGAATGGTAGGCAGTGGGTGAACGAACAGCTCTGCCTAGACTGGGCTCCCAGAGATGGACCTCGGGAATCTGCAGTAGCAGGCAGGGAATGCCTTTGATTCAGTAGCCCAAGCGGCAATGGCTGCAGGTTAAGATCCTGGCAGGTGAAGCTAAGCAGGGTTGGGGTTTGGATGGGAGACCTTTGCAGAAAGCCCCAATGCTGCTGGAAGCTGTGGGGGTGGCTCCGTAGGAGGCAGCCTTCCCTGTAATTCAGCACTAAACCACTGGCTGCTGCATTGCATGGGTGGGCTGTGTTGCTGGGGATGCCAAGCAGCGATCCTGCCTGTTAGAGATCCCAGAGTGTTCTCCACTTCCAGCCCTAAACTCTTGTGGGGTGGGTGGGTGGGTGGGTGTGTGTGTGCACTGCTGCTGCTTCCCACTCCAGAGCTGGCTGCATTTCAGCAGTGGATGAAGCAATTCCTGTTTGTAAAGTGCTGTGCCTAGACTATGTGGATCCTCTTCCCCCCCATGGAGGCGGGTAGTGGGGCATTGCTGTCCCACACGGGCTCTCGGGGGCGCCTGCCAGTTGAGGGATGGGGATCGGGGCCACTCTGCATTGATCCGTGCTCCCAGCATGTGGCTGTGGAATAGAAACAGAGCCTGCATCCCTTTTCCTCCCCACTCCCCCACAGGTACGTTCAGAGCCTGCTGGACATCATGGAGTTCCTGGACAAAGACCCCGAGGACCAAGGCACCCTGGGACAGTAAGTTGGGTGTGGGCTGACTGGGAGGAGGGACCCTTCAGTCATCTCGTCTGACCGCCTGTGTCCACAAGCCAAAGGCTTTTTCCCAGAACCTGGATTGAAGCGTATCTTTCAGATATCTAATCTCCGCTTGGCGACTCCCAGGGACCGAGAGTCCACCACTCTGGGGAGCTGTTCCCGTGTTGAATCACCCTCCTGGCTAGCAAACTGTAGCATATTTCAAGGCTGAATTGGATCTAGCCATTGGCGCTTGTTATGCCTGTGTCAGCACAATCAACGCCCCACCCCCACCTAGCCAGTACCTTTCCCGTGCGCAGGTGCCAATACACCGTGATCCAAGTCACCTCTCAACCTGCTCTTCCATAGACTGAGGAAGTGGAGCTCCTTAAGCCTCTCGCTGCCAGGCTTGCGTCTCTCCCGTCCATCCACATCCTCCTTTAAGCGTGGAGACCAGAAATGGACACCGTATTCTAGTAGCCACCTTACCAATGCTGTGCACTTGTCTATTTCTGCTTGAATTCCCTCTTTGTCTGCATCCCCGCATCACGTTAGGCCCCTTAGCAACAGCATGACCCCGAAGTCCTCCTGTGAGTTCTTGCTTCCCAAGACCTAGTCTCCCCTCCTTTAGGTGTAATCTGCTTTCTTTCATCCCAGATGAGTAAACGTCCGTTTGAGTGGATTAAATTGTGACCATTTGACCAGGCGACTCAGAGAGCTCTGTACCGTTAACCTGTCCTCCTCGTTATCTGTTACCCCACACGTTTTTGTGCCATCTTGCAAACCTAACCAGCAAAAATGTTATATGACTTTTATCAATCATCTAGAAGATCTCAAATAGCACCGGATCAAGAACCAGTCCCTGGGGGACCCTTTGAGAAACAGCCCCACTCAGTGATATCTCCCCAGTAACAACAACATTGTCATTGAGCCGGCTGGCAATCCATCTAATGAGCGCCTCGTTAATTCCGTAAAACAATCAGAATGTCATCTGGTACTAAGTCGACCGCCTTGGAGTAATCTAAGGATACTATGCGCAGTTACCTTTATCAACCAGACCTGTAATCTTGTCAAAAAACAAGATAACAGGTTTGTTTGATAAGACCTAGTTTCCATGAAACCCTGCTGACTGGCTTTAGTTGTATTGTTCGTCTCTAATTCTTTGATAGAGCAGTTAACGGAGACTCTGTTATTTGCCTGGGAATCACATCAGCCAGCGGATCTATAGTTCACTGGGTCATCCCTTCGCCCCTTTTTAAATATTGGGACTGCAGTGGCAGGCCTCCGATTTGGAATTTCTCTTGTTTTCCCAGATCGGTTAAAAATTAACACTAGTGATTCAGCTGGTTCCTTTAAGGCCCTTGGATGTAAGTTATATGGGCCCTCACATTCTTTCTTTTTCCAAATGGTACATTTTCTATTCCAGTGCGATGTGTATCTGGAATGAAGCAGGAGGACGTATCCAACAGGCATCCCTAGTGAACGTTTTTGCCTTTTCTGTTTTGCTATTTATGATTTTTCCCATCTGCATCTAGCAATGAACTGATACCTGAGCAAGGGTTCCTTTTGTATGGCCGCATTGAACGGGGCAGTCGTGCTTTCTTGCTGCCCCACCCCCGGCTCCCAGATCCTGGCAGGGACCTCCGCTCGGGCTGCGGTTGGGCTTGTGTCACTGAAATTTTATCACAGGTCCCAACTCTCTCCAGACCCCCCCCCCCCTGCAATCCAGAGCTGAATTCCAGCTATGGCACTTCAGCCATCTCTAATGTTACATGCGTCCTGGAGATCCATGTCAGCTGTGCGGTGGAATCTGCTCCGGGATTTCCCAGGCAGCTGCGCACTGTTGAAATCCCGCATTAGGGTTAGAATGAGGAAGAGCTCCTTCAGCCATAGGGGAACCTGGACTGGATTGCTGTGCCTCCCTGGAATGGACTGGGGGTCTTTGCTGTCCCCTGCCTCCTTGTTGTAGCCCTCTGGTTCCAGGCTCTGGGAAGCTGGCTCTATCCTCGCCTCGCTCTATGATGAGCTGCTCCCATCTCACATGGACTAACCCCCTCGCTTTCCCTTCCTGCTCTCCCCAGGTTCACGGATGCCCTGATCACCATCCGTAACCGGCACAACGATGTGGTGCCGACCATGGCGCAGGGGGTGATCGAGTACAAGGAGGCCTACGGGGACGACCCCGTGTCCAACCAGAACATCCAGTACTTCCTGGACCGCTTCTACCTGAGCCGCATCTCCATCCGCATGCTGATCAACCAGCACAGTGAGTGACAACCGCCCAGCCAAGCCTGCTGTCTCCCATGGAGGGGAAAGGCGAGAGGAAGGGATTGAGTGGGCTGCAGAGGAGAGGTGGAATGAGGCAGGGATGAGATGCTGCGGTGATGGGCACAGTATTGAAAATGTGCAGTGTCTCTCCACCTTTCCAGACGACCGGACCCCTTTCAGGAGTCTGATTGGTCTTGCATATCCCAAGTTTCACCTCCCTTAAAAACTACTTGCTTGCAAAATCAGACCTAAAAACACAAAAGAGTCGCTGGAGACTATTACTGACAAATTGCCCACTTTCTCCTTTTTACCCTATAATTATAAAATAAATCGATTGGAATATTAATATTGTCCTTACATATAGAGCAGTCTAAACAGGTCACCGTGTGAATGAACTTTTAGTTTGTACTGACTTTGCTAGTGCTTTTTATGTAGCCTGTTGTAAAACTAAGCAAATATCTAGATGAGTTGATGTACCCCCCGGAAGATCTCTGGGCTAGACGAGAGGGAATCAGGGAATAAGCAGGGAGATTCCAGTAGGGCACTGGGGCCGAGGGGTGGAATTTGTGGGTGGGTGGGGAGTACTGGGACAGAGGGACAGGGTAGGAGAGATGGAAACTGACACGCATGCTTTTGATCCTTCTGGGTTCCCCCTTGGACTCGTATGTTTCAGTCTGTGCTGAGGCCCTTCCTCCTTCTCCTCCCACCTTGTCTCTCCTTCCCCTCCGTCTCTTTCAATGCAGGCCTGCTCTTTGATGGCAGCACCAACCCGGCTCACCCCAAGCACATTGGCAGCATCGACCCCCACTGTGACGTGGCCGAGGTTGTGAGAGGTCTGTGCCCCGTAATGGCGGAGAGGCAGCATCCCCACAAAAGGGTGGTGGGCCCTGCGTGGTGGAGCACAGAAGGCTAAAGGGTCTCACCAAGATGAGGTTGCCCTGGGGTCTCAGGAGGGGACACTGGCTGGCTCGGGAGATCAGCAGGGGGATCCGGTTCTGATCCGTGCCAGGCCAGCGGGGCCTGAAGGCTGTTTGTTTGGAAGCCTCTCTGTGTGACGAATTTGGTAGATCTCAGCCTAGGTGCCGGTGGACAAGCATTCACCTGACAAATGTCAGACTGCCCCTGGGGGTACCCCAGAGACACCAAGCGCTGGTGGGCCACAGTGACTGAGCTCCCCTTGTCCCTAAAAGGGGGTCCCTGTCAGGCAGGGGACAGTGGCGCAGGGCAGCCTGGGGGAAGTTCACCCGGCTGATGCCCAGCTTGTCCTTGTTGGAGCAAATATCCCGCTCCAGTCTGTCATTCCCAGCGCTGTCCATGCTGAATTTCCTTGTCTCCCGTCCCCTCGCTAAGTCCTGAGCCTGTCCCAAGGGGAAGCAGGCTCCGAGCTCTGCTCTCTTGGGTAGAATCTGTGCCGATCCCACCTCTCCCTGTTCTCCAGATGCCTACAACATGGCCAAGCTGCTGTGCGACCAGTATTACATGACCTCGCCCGATCTGGAGATCCAGGAAGTCAGCGGTGAGTCTAGAGGGACCCGCAGCCCCTGGGGACGGGTGGGTGAGGATGCTCGTTGGGGAGCAGTTGAGCCCGGTGGGAAGGTGAGTTGCTTGTGGGGTGCAGGGGTTGGTAGGGAGCAGCTGAGGACGAGGAGCTTTCTAAGGAAAGCTTTACGGGGAGCAGGGCCCAGCCTGGCCTGGGACTGATCAGCGACCTCCCTGTTGAGACTGCTGAAATGGCGCCGTTGAAGAAGGGAGCTGCGGGAAGCAAGGTGGCCCCCGTGGTTGGCCGTATAGCCGGGGGAGAGACGCAGAGGAAAGGCCTCTGGGCCGCTGCTGCCTGCTTTGCACAGCGGGTAGCTTTGCATGTGTTACTCTGAGAGTTTGGTATTTTGAAGAACAAAACTGCGCCCTGAAAGACGGACCTGCGCCGTCCTTGGGCGTCAGTCCTTCCTGGGCTAGGGGAGTCAGGCCGACAGCTTACAGGAGCATTTCCCTTACAGCCGCTGTGTTCTTTCCCTTGTAGCCAACAATTCCAAGCAGCCAATCCGCATTGTCTATGTCCCATCTCACCTCTACCACATGCTCTTTGAGCTCTTCAAGGTAAGGCTCCTGTCTCTATGGTCCTTCACCTGTAGCCCTTCTTTCTCTGCAAGGAGGTGACGAAGCTGGAGAGAACCATGGTAGAACTTGGCATTCTGTCTGCCTGACCCACCGATGGTTCCCTGTAGTAGGCACCGGAGTTTCGAGCTCCTGCCTCTGCCGGTGGGTGAAGTGGAGGCCAGGGAGTACATGTATGAGGAGAGTAAGTTAAGAGATGGGTAAAGGAAAGCACATTTTCAGCCACAGTGTTAACCTGTGGAACTCATTTCTGCAGGATTTTTGCCTAGGGAACTAGCTTTAGTAAACATTTTAAAGAAGGAATCGACTCATGGGAAGTCCAGGACCACCAGGCCTCTGCTTCAGGGCATCTGCAGATGACCGGCTCAGGGTCAGGAAGGAACTTCCTACCCTTACAAATACTGCACAAATAGGTGCCTTGTGGGGGTTTTTATACCTTCCTCAAGCATCAGGGCAGGCAGCGGCCAGGCTAGAGGGGCTGACAGTCTGTCATTACAAAATCCCTGATGACCCGCTTCTTGTCTTTGTTCCCACGTAGAATGCCATGCGAGCCACCGTGGAGAGTCACGAGTCCAGCCTCCGACTCCCAACCATCAAGGTGATGGTAGCGCTGGGTAAAGAAGATCTTTCTATCAAGGTAGGTGGCCTGGCTGAGGGTCCAAGGGATAGAAAGGGACCCTCAGCATCAGGCTAATTCCCCAGGGTGCTCACTTTTGGCCTGGGAGTCCCCTGCAGTGCAGCAGGTAGACTGAGGGCATGTGGGCTAGTGGATAATAGAGGATCGGGCAAGAGGACCCTCCTGAGTTCTGTTTGACTATCTGACTTGCTGTCCCCCTGGGCCTGAGACTTCGGGGAGCATGTGTGTGTGTGGGGGGTATTTAGCCCACCCCCCCCAAATGCTGTTTAGCTTCCCTTCTCCAGCGCAGCTCATCTCTGCGGCTTCTGGGATGCCCGTAGCCAGGCCTTGCTTGGGAGCCTCCCGCTTGAACCCTGAGGCTGTTTTCCCTGCTTCCCCAGCCGCACAGGGGCGTTTCCTCCAGTAAGGGGGGCTGGACAGAGCGCCCTGTCATGGCCTATTGATGCTTCTTCTATATCAGGCGCTGCTGGGCTACTGGGATTTCTCCCTGTGGGGGTGGGGATGGCTAACGCGCCGCTGCTCAGGGCACGTGGGGGGTCACCAGGGGCTGCTGACACAATGTCCCGTCGCGCAGATGAGCGACCGAGGTGGCGGGGTTCCGCTGCGGAAGATCGAGCGGCTCTTCAGCTACATGTATTCCACCGCACCCACCCCCCAGCCCGGCTCGGGCGGGACACCCCTGGTACGTAGCGGATCAAGTCAGGGCCCCCCCCGGGTGTCCCTGCAGGTGATTTTGTGGGTGGGTGAGTGGATGGAATTCCCTAAGTCCTTCCAGGTAACCACCCTCCCCCTCCAGAGCCGTGTGCAGGGGATTCCAGTAAGCTGCTTGGATGGCATGGTGGGATGGCGGAGGGCCTACGTCTGACAGCCAGGCCACCTGGGAGTGGGAGGAGGGTGTGGGGGGTTCCTGATGTCTGGGTGGGGCGATGTTGGGGGAACTAGGGCCTGGTGGTCGGGCAGTTCGCAGAGACATCTGCAACCATAACCTCCTGTCGTCTTCTCCCCGCCCCGCCAGGCTGGCTTTGGTTACGGCCTGCCCATTTCCAGACTCTATGCCAAGTATTTCCAAGGGGACCTTCAGCTCTTCTCCATGGAGGGCTTTGGGACAGACGCCGTCATCTACCTGAAGGTGCGTAAATCACCCCCCACGTCTCGCCTTCTCAAACCCGCTAGTTCCGGCAGCCGCTCCCCGGAGGCCTCCCAGTCCTGTCAGTGACAGGCACCCCATGTGGAGGCGGGGAGCTAGAAGGAAGGATGTCCCAGTGGTTAGGGGGCCCGCCTAGGACTTCGGAGGCCTGCGTTCACGTTCCTGCTCTCCTCCAACCTCCTTGTGTGACCTTGAGCAAGTCCCTTAGGGCTTGTCTACACAGGAAACTCTTCCCGGCTGCGCCAGTAGAACTGTACCGGTATCATTCCCCGTATGGACGCTCTTATACTGGAATAAGTGTGTCCCCATGGGGAGTTATTCCAGTATAACTACACTGGTTTAAATTCAGGCTAGGTCTACACTACAGCGGGGGGTCGACCTAAGATACGCAACTTCAGCTACGTGAATAGCGTAGCTGAAGTGGCATATTTTAGGTCGACTTACCTGGCTGTGAGGACGGCGGCAAGTCGACCGCTGCCGCGCCGCCGTCGACTCCGCTACCACCTCTTGCCGCGGTGGATTTCCGGAGTCGATGGTAGAGCCATCAGGGATCGATTTTATCGTGTCTTCACTAGACGCGGTAAGTCGATCCCCGATAGACCGATTGCTACCCGCCGGATCGGCGGGTAGTGAAGACGTGCCCTCAGATCGTGGCTTATTCCAGTATAACTTTCCCGTGTAGCCAAGCCCTTAATCTCTCTGCGTCTGTTTGTTGCCGTCTGTAACGCGGGGCTGGTGGCACCGCCCGACCTCACGTATGGGCTGTGAAGATAAATGAAAGATCGGGAGGCGTGCGGACGCTACCGCAGTGGGGACCAGAGATAAGTGCTAACGCTGGAAGGGTTTGCTGGCAGTCCCCAGCCCCTGGCTTTTCCTCTTCCATTGTAACAGAGAAGATGATCCCTGCCCCATGTCACTGACAGTGGGTGGAGTCTCCAGATCTTACAGCCTTGTCCCCATTGATGCTGTCCCTCCTTGGTGAAGTTTACGTGGGTCAGTTTCACTCTGTTCCTAGCCACTTCACTCAACCCCCCCCAAAGGCTCAACCTGTCTCTCAGCCCAAGCGTGTCTCCATTCAGGATCGATACCCAAATAAGATCAGTGACCTAGCCAGGGTGACTCCTGTAGCCACCGGAGCAGGAGCTTGGGTCTGAGTCGGCCCTGCCCATGGCTATGGGAGCAGGTTCTTGGGATGTCATTTGCATGCTGGGTCATGCTGAGAGGTGATGTGTAACTAACAGACTCCTCGTTAGACTCCCTTGTACTCCAGAGCTAGGCGTCTAAGGGCTTGTCTGCATCAGGGATTTTTTGCTCTTAGTGAGTAGCTGTTTTAAGTCACGCTATTATTAAATCATTTCAATATAAATATTCAGATATTAATAATCATATTAAAATCAAGTTTCAATCGGGTGGAGGCTTTGTAAAAGCTAATTTGAAAACGTGTGCTATTGCAACTGTGAATTTTAATTTTTTTTTATCACAAACTAAATTTTAAACACTATTGTTTTCCTCCGGTGCCACTACAATTAGGATATTGTACATACATTTTCAATTTGTTTTGGCTTATAGCCGTTTTGTAAAATTCAAGACCCTGATCCTGCGACTGCTTAAGCAGATACGTAACTTTACTCACATGCCTCATCTCATTGACTTCAGTGGGATTACAGTTAAGCACATGCCTAGGCATTTGCGGCATCCGGGCTAATATTGTATCTTTATTAAACTTTTATTTTATTGACATAAAATTTTTGAGCGAGACGAGGTGGGTGAGGTAGTATCTTTTATTAGACCAGCTTTTGTCGATGGACGGTAAAAGCTTTAGAGCCACACAGATCTCTTCTTCACGCCTGGGGAAGGAGATCAGAGAGTCTGAGCTAAATACAGATTGGGACAGATTGTTAAACGTAAGGGGTTACCCATGTTGTAGAGGCCACTTGAAATGAAGTTGTCAGTTGAGGGTTAGGCTATTATGTGTAAGGGGGTTGAAGCGAGCAGTTAAGGTTTAGCCAGGCAGTAGGGTGGGTGAGTTACAAATTGTCGAAATGAGCCATAAAACCCCGTGGAGTGTATGGTTTTCAATGTCTAGCAGAGTTAGGAATTTAAGGTCCCAGGCTCACCTTTTGAAGGTGTTGTGTAGATTTCCCTTGAGGATGAGTATTGAAAGATCAGATCTGGAGTGCTCGCTTTGTGAAAAGTAAAAAAAAATTAGGAGTCCTTGTGGCACCTTAGAGACTAATACATTTATTTGGGCATAAGCTTTCGTGGGCTAGAACCCACTTCATCAGATGTATGAAGTAAAAGATACAGGAGCAGGTATACATACATGAAAGGATGTGGGATGCTTTACCAAGTGTTAAGTCAGTCTAATGAGATAAATCAACAGCAGGATACCAAGGGAGGAGAAATAACGTTTGAAGTGGTAAGAGAGTGGCCCATTACAGATAATTGACAAGAAGGTGTGAATAACAGTAGGGAGAAATTAGTATTGGGGAAATTAAAAGTGTTTGCCCGTGGACGGTAGTTTTATCACTTTTCTGCATGAGTTCATTCAAGAGCGTAGTGATTGTCTGGTTTCACCCTCATGGTGGTTGTTGGGGCATTTGAAGCACTGCATGAGGAACCTCACATGTAGTGTGTAGGACCAGGAATCTTGACAATTGTGTTGGAGGGGGTATTGATCATCGCAGCAATGGAGATACGTCTGCAGGTTTTGCATCTGTTCCTCTGGCAGGAGCTGCTGCTGCTTTGAGATGGTGTGTCCTGGTCTGTAGGAAGCTATAACAACACTGCACAAAATCTGTGTCCGTTCAGAACAAAACTGCTGCGGTGTGAACAATGAAAAGTTATTTAGACTTTCAATGCAATACAAATATTCTCAACGACTTCGTTCTACACACAGGCCAACATTTTCAAAAATAAAGAGGAGCCTAAAGTTAGGTGCTTTGGAAAAATCCCAGAGCCAACATAATTCAAGAACACACATGCCATTGACCACAAACCCCGATGGAGGCATATTAGCCAGGTTGAAGCATTTCAGCTTTCTTGACTTGTGGGAGTTTAATATATTGGCTTCAAACATAGTCGGGGGTATCTGCTGATCGCTGTTGTGCCAGAGTTTGCGGTTCTCACGGCATAGATGTTGGTGCCCTGGTGCTGTCTTTTTCAACACAGATGCACATTTTGTGTGTGACACTTTAGTAGAACAAAAATCTTTGTAAAACCTGAAATTCCATCAACAATCAGGAAGCTAATTAAGGGAAGAAACATCCACTACGGCCAATTATGGGGGGGAAAGTAAAGAACTAGCAACACACAAAATAAAAATGATTAACATTTTTTAAAACACTTTTTAAAAAGTGATTTAGATCAGTTAAAGAAACGCGTGGTTTTTATTCACCCAGCTGTAGCTAACCTCAGTATATAGACAGTCCCTTGATGCAACTGCTCCTGGCTTCAGTCCTTAGCTGGTGCATGGGCAGGGGATTAGAAGCACTGTATTCAGACGTGCAAAACCCCACTGAGACTTGATTAAAATCTTCCTTGTGGAGCTGGTGAGGAGTTAGAAGTAGAGCAGGTTGGAAGTTTTCCAACAAAATTAGTGAAATTCTTTTATTGAAACACAGGCAAGCTTCACTGCCTCTTCTCAGTCCCCGTCCCCCCCCCCCGCAAGCTCTAGGGGCCAGGCAGGCCCTTGCTGGCTCCCAGAGCTGGGGGGTTGTCGGAGTGACAGAGCCCTCTGGCTCTCCGCCCCTCCAGCAGCTGGGCGTGGAAGGCTCTTGTCAGTTTCACAGGTGAAATTGACAGGAGCCTTCTCTGAGGTCAGCTGGGAAAATTCCCTTTCGGGTGTCCCAAAATGGAATCGGTCTTTAAATCCTTCCCTGTGAAAAATGTCACGGACTTGACATTTCATCCCAATGCACGATGAACCTTTTTCAGAAATGTGAAAATGTCCGTGGGAAAGGGGATTCCCTTTCTCAGCCAGCTACAGTTAAAAGCCCTGGGGAAACGAATGCAAGATCTGACCTGCAGAGACTGCTTCCCCCCTGCCTGCCCCTCTCTGAATGCAAATTGCATTCCAACACACGCTTCGGTGCCAGGAAATGGAAGTGAAGAATCATAGGGTTTCATTAGCAGAGTCTTTGATATCAAACTCCTGTATCAAGAAGGGAACTTACTGGTCAGAGCAGGGGCCTGGGACCCAGGACTCCTGGGTTCCTTGGATGGAAGGCTTCAGAAGAGGGCAGAACGTTGCTGATGCCCTGTGTCTGGAAGGATTCCAAAGCACTTTACAGGCTAACACGTGGCATGAAATCTGCCTTGAGTAGGGACCAGGAGGGAAACAGCAGAGGTTGGTCTTGAACTGTTGTCCAGATTCTACCAGAGGTCTCCTAGGGCTGCTTCCTAGTGGCTGGCCGTGCCATTGGGAGGATGCTTGGAGGACATGGGGGTTTGGGGGCAGGATTCACTGCAGAGAGAGCACTTCTCCTGTCCGCTGACATGCAGTTACCTGGCTGCCTTGTGTCCCACAGGCCTTGTCGACAGAGTCGGTGGAGAGGCTGCCCGTGTATAACAAGTCGGCCTGGCGCCACTACCAGACCATCCAGGAGGCGGACGACTGGTGCGTGCCCAGTACGGAACCAAAGAACACCTCCACCTACCGGGTGACTTAGGCCCCCGGGGGTGGCTGGTGGCGCTTGGAGACGGAGATACCAGCGGGCTTGAGGCGGGAGAATCTATCCACATCACAAAAACCGCATCGGAAGAACTCGAGCGATGGACTCTTCCTATTGACCAGTCTGGCTAACGCTCCGCCCAGGAGCGGGAATGATTTTCTTTTTACGGTATGTAGCGTGCAGTAGCCCATGCCCACCACTGCCCGGAATCTGCTGGGCTCCCCCCATCCTCACCTTAGAGAGAGCCGGGCAGGCTCCAGGCATTCCCCGTGGTTGGGGGTTTTACCCATAATCCTTTTATTCACCAGAGATCTGTTCTTTGCCTCCGCTTGCCACTGGGAGCGGGAGGACAGGAGTCAGGCTGTGGAGACGGCTTTTATGGTTACGGGGGAAACCAGCCCTCTGGCCGAAGAGGTTCAAATGTGGGGAGAGAGGAGGGGGCAGGTGAGGAAGCCTTGTAGGTTTAGGTGTGGGGTGGATGGGGGCCCTGCAGAGAGAGCCAAGAGGGCCACGGGCTCCCACTTGGTCTGTTAGGCCGGGGGAGTTGGGAGCCAGGGCTGGAGCACCTGTGGGGCGGGGGGGGTGGGGTCCAGCTTGGGCACCAGAACAGCCAGTGGGTCCCTAGTACCAGCCCCCAGGTGTGGGGAGAGTCAGGTGTGTCGTGAGTGGTGTGGGGGAGGTGCAGGGAGCGAGGGGGCCTCCATGCTCGGGGGCGGGGGGTGGCCCAGGGGGCTGCTGGGAGGTGCCAGGGTTGCCCTTTCCTGAGCTGGGACAGTGGAAGGGCATCAAAGGGAAAGGGAGGGGGCTGTCCTCAGTCCTACCCTGCTGGGGTGGGGGTGGGGCTAGGCATTAGAACAGCCACCTGGGGGAGGAGATCGCAGTGGGGTCCCCCCGGATTCCCAGATGGGGTGCAGCAGCCGTCTCTCTCGGCTGTGCTTATACACGAGGCATTACGGTGCCTCTTTCCAGCTCAGAGCAGCTGTCCGGGTCTGTCAGCACTCGGGACCCTTCCCCCCACACCGGCTGTATGGCGCTGGCTGAGGCGAGCTGGAGGCGTTTGCTCTGCAAGGCAGAGACAGGTGCTGATCTGGTGAGGGTCTGAGGGATTGTAACTTCGTCCGTGTTGTCTGAGGCCTGGGCTCTGGAGAAGCCTGTTCTCTCTGCCCCCCTCCCTCCCGCCTTCCTGACCCTCTAGCTGTCTGTCCTGGCCGGGGAGCTCCCCTCAGCACCGGCTGCTCCCTGTGTCTTCACACCGCTGCCCTGCACGCCCCACGTGTGATCGATTGCCATGGCATGCGTTTATGTTCTCTGGAAAGGATCTGCACAGATATATATTTTTATGCTGTGGGCAGAACCCTGTTTCTGCCCAAGACACGGTGGGTTAAGTCGTGGCGTTCATCCCATTGTTGATCCGTAAAGATGACATTGACCAAAACGGACCTGGTGGTGGTCTCTTTGCACTTTGCGCGGTCCCGGTGTGCAGCAAACACCCCCTGCCCCCCCGGGCAGTGGATTTCGCACCCTGCCTTCTGCATGGGCCCAAACCACTTAGTCAGTGGAGTGTTAAAACTGGATCCAATCACCTCTACAGCTAATTAACCCTTTCAAACATCTGTAAGGTAAGTAGTCTTTCATACTGCATGGAGCACTGAGCTGGGCAGCAGGAGCCCTGGGTTCTGTTCGCAGCACTGCCCCTGACCCGCTGGGTGAGCTCGGGCAAATCATATCGCTGCCCCGTGCCTCAGTTTCCCCTCCCACCTTCTCTGTGTCTATTTAGAGTGTAAGCTCTTCAGAGCAGGGTCTGGCTTACCGTGTTTCGGCAGCTCCCAGCACAATGGGACCTCAATGCTGCTGTAGTAAAACTGATTCATAGTCACGCTACCAGGACGCCTGGGTCCTCAGGACTTGCTGTGTGGCCACGGGTAAGTCACTGCCCCAGTTTGCCAGCAGTAGGATGACACTCGGCTTCCCATAATGCTTTGAGATCCCTGGCCAAAGGGACCCTTTTCCTAGCAAGCCTGGAACGATATTCCCAAGGGGGGGCACTGGCAGAGCTGGGAATGGAACCCAGGCGTCCTGCTGTGGCCGTGCGCTGCTCTCTGCAGAGCAGTGACCTGGAGGTCAGGTTTCCCTGTCTGCTTGGCCATGGGCTATGAGGCAGGGAGCGGTCTGGCTCTGCAGAGCGCTCCATGGCCTTGTTTATCCTGCCGCGGCAGGGTCCCACACAGGCACCTCTGCTTCTGGCACCACCTGGCTGAGCCCAGCCAGGCTGGTAGGAGGGAAAAGAGCCGAGGCCCGTAGCCAGAGCAGCAGAGAGCGCCTCACGCTCGGCTTCCCTCGCCCAGTGTGCAGCTGCCGTGTTGACGCAAAGCTCCGGGGAGCTGACTCTGCATTTCAAACCCTGGAAACCACCTCCCCTGTGCCCTTGAGAGGACTCCTGCCCAGCTGCGGGGGAGGCAAAACCGCGGGAGGCGGCTGGGACAGCATGTACTGTGTGAGCAGTCACCCAATGGCAGAGGGGGAGGGAGGGCTGGCAGGCTCTGCTCTGCGGCTGCAAACCTAGTGACCCCCGAGTTGGGCTGCACGTGAGCAGGGCCGGGTACAAGCGAGCTGCTCTGCGTCCTCTCCCCATAGGCCTCCCTGGACCCAGCTTCCTTGGGGAGAAGGGCTCTCTCCCCGCTCCACAGATCACCCCAGCGGGCCACCTTCAGTTAAGGGCTTGACCATAGAACAGTGAGTGCCCGACCCCTGGCCCCAGGCCGCCTGCTGCCTTTGCCGACTCTAAAAATGAGGCCAGGTCGGGTTTCACCCAGGGCCCCTTCTGGGCAGCTGGTGCGGGTGGCTGAGCGCAGCCTCGGGCTGGCTGGAGGGGACGCTGGGGGGGGAGTGAAGGTGAGCCCCGTCCCTGGGACCAGCTCCATTGGCTGTCGGGTTTCCCTTCACTCCTGTGGGGCCCTGATGTGGCCGGGGCCTGGCCCACACCCCCATCTCGTACCGCAAGACCCAGCGGGGGGGGCGTGTGAGGTTTTTATTACTAGGCTAGTTATGCCAGCCAGCGCATGCCCTAGTGTGGGTGCAGTTATACCAGCCTCAAGGCACCTCACTGACAATACTAATTGTCGTCCCTGCCATGTGTACCAGGCAAAAGCACCTTCCCAGCCCTGGATCAGCCCCCCCCCCCCCCCCTCGGGGCAGGGGGCACATCGCTGAAAGGAGAGCTGTACACTTAGAGCCACAGCTTGGGTGTAGCACAGCCCTGCCTGAATGCCTTAGAGGGGGGATTGGATCTGGGGCTCTCCCCCTTCTCATGAGGGGCTGGGCCACCTAAACGTGCCCTTATTTTAACTAAAAGACTTAAAAATCCCCTTTAAAGCCCCAGCGGAGCGGGGTGCTCCCCCAGCAGAACGGCGCGGCTGAGTCTGGTGTGGGACCCGCAGCCCTTACCGCCGCCTGGTGTTAGTGATGGAGGTTTCAGCTGGGTGAGGATGCAGCCTCCTCCTGTCCCTCAGCTGAGTCACCGTCCTAAGAAGGGAAAGAGCAGCTGGCAGGCCCCACCGCGGCGCAGGTCTGGAGCGGCGCCCACTAGGCCAAAGGCTGCGTCTTGCTAAAGCTGGGCGTGGGCCCGGCTGCGGTCTCCAGGCAGAGTTTCCTAAAATAAGTGGGGCCTTGTGCTCCGGAGCTGGGAGAGCCCGGCACTGGGCCTGGGGGTTTCAAGGGCCCGTGGGAAGCGGTGGTCATGTCAAAGGATCTGTTCCAGCCTGGGGCGCGTGGCTTTTTGCAGCCGAGATGAAGTACTAACAACAACTCGTGGTGTTTCAGGAAAGCAGAACCACGACTCCCCAGTTAGTAACACTGCCCCTGCCCAGGATTTAAGGACCGTGGTGGGTTTAATAAACATGACCCACCCACCCCACCCCCCGAATGCTGCCGGAGGGTTTACAGCCGGAAGGCCCATTACGGTGGCTCTAGGCTGCCCTGCTGTGAATCACAGGTGGGCGTTACAGCTCCCCCACCCATCTTTGTTTTAAGCCAAAGACTTCAGTGTTCAATGCTGAACACGCCCCTCTGTTACGTATTAGCCCCATTTGCCAGCCAGGGCCCCGCGTGCTCCGAAAAGAGTGCACGGGCAGGGGTCGCGAAAAGAACCCAGGAGTCCTGAGTTCTACACACTCCCCTGCCCCCCCCCTTTGCTCTGACCACTAGACCACACTCCTGCCCAGGGCCAGGAATAGAACCCAGGTGTCCTGCTGCCCCCCACACACCCCCCCCGTTCTTGTACCCTGGCACAAGGCTGCAGTGTTACGGGGGGAAGCGAGGAGGGGGGTGATCGCTGCTGGCTGCATTCCCCACAGCAACACTTATTTAATGGGCACTGACTGCCCCTTTGGGCTGTGGGTGTGCAGCGCCCAGCACAATGGGGGAGCAGGGCCCTGACTGGGGGGGGGGGGTACCTGGCTGCACCCCACCCCCAGGCAGCTCAGAGTTACGCTGCTTTAAACGTGCCTGTGTTTTCGCTCACCTTTGCTGAGTGCACCACGCCCTCTCGAGGCGGGTGTGGGGTACTGCAGGCTCCTCTGCTAGGGCGAGGGACTAGCCTGCGTCATGTCACCGGCCCATGAATGTTTGATCGCGGTGTGGTTGGCCTGAGCGATTGAGTTTCCCGTGGGACTGATGGGGAAAGCGTGGCTGTTGAAATGCAGCCAGGCCACTGCAGGGCCGATGCCACCTCCCCCATCCCTGGCCCTGGCCTCCTCCTTACCTACCTGCCCCAGGGTAACATGCTGCTGAAATCCCTGATTCCCCTCGCTCTGTCCACCCCAGCCCCGGGGGAGACACAGCGGCCACACCGGCAGCCCCCTGCCCCAGCTCGCCTCTGCTCCGCCACCTCCCCTGAGCACGCCGCTTCTCCCCTAGCTCCAGTGTTTGCTGCCGCAAAACAGCCTCCCGCCCCCCAGCAGCCCCTCTGCCCCTGCAATGCTTGGATAGAGTTGGGGCCCCCGGCTACCCATTTGCCATCACAACCACCCGCTGCTGCTTGTTCTCCGTGTCAAGGGCCTGCCTGCTCCCCCCTGCATCTCTCCTTCTCCGGCACCCACCAGCGGAATTGTCAACCTTGCCCCCTGCTGCGCCTCGGCTTGGGTGGCGCGTCCCATCGACAACCCCAACGCTGCCTCATTCCCCACCTTAAAATCTCCCTGGGCACTGCGAGGTTCAGGAAACTTGACAAGGGGCAGGCTGCTGGTGGCCTGAGCCCAACGCCTGGCCTGCTGCCCACGGCTGGCTCACACGCCCCGGTCTCTGGGCACCTCTTGTCTTACCCTTCGCCAGGCAGAGTGTTGGGGCCGGGTTCTGGTAGCTCAAGCACCAGAGGTCAGGGGTTGACACACCACAGCTGCCCTATACCAGGAGCTCTGCTACCTTAGCTGCAGGGGCTGGGAGATGCTGCACCTCAACAAAGAAGTCCTTTCTCCGCCAGGTGGGGTAGGCATTGGAGTTAATAGAGGCTAGGCTGGAAATAACAGTAATTCAGCAAGTCTGAGTAAAAATCCCTTCTCAAGCACCCGGGCTTTCTAAGCCTGGCTCCCGCTAGTTCTCCACCACTCCTAGCGCTTCAAGTGGACCCCAGCGTTCCCACGAGCACAGCCAGGGAGCAGCACCCCCTAGAGGTGGTGGATGCTCCTGCCCCAGAGAATCCAGCCTCACCCACTTCCTCCCCGCGCTCTTGGGCCTCCCTAGAGAAGGGCCTAATTTGCTTCCCAGGGCAGGTCACCACCTCGCCCCCATTCCCGGCCCCATTCCCAGCCCCCAGCCTGCAGAACGCAGCGGTGGGTGCGTGGCGCAGAGCGGACCCCAGGGGGGCTGGTTGCAATCGGTTTTATTTCCTTCGTGGTTTCTCCCTGGGTCGGTGTCTGTGCTCTCGGAATAAATTGGCCGGGCCCTGCTCGTCCGGGCTGTGTCGATCCTGGCCCCTGGAGGGGGCCCGGGGACCCCGAGCGCAACCCGGGATCGCTCGTGGGTGGGGGAGGGGTAACGCCATGCACTATCTTCGTCCTGCGGGCCCATCGGGGCCGAGCCGTCATTTTCAGGAGGGAGTGGGGAGCAGCAGTGGTGCCCATGGGCTAAGGGAAACGGGGGGCCGGTGAGGTAGGACAACTGATCAGCATGGAGCAGGAAGGCGCCTTGGTGACTGGAACCGATCGGCAGCAGACGGAGGTCAGCAGGGAAGCCGGGAGGGGGAAGCCGCGCCAGCTGCAACCCACGGGCGGGTGCCAACCGCTAGCCAGCTGTGGGGCCGGGTCCAGCCGTGCCAGGAGCCCCGTGCGTGGCGGAGTGGATGGGCAGCGTGAGGGAGGGGTTTGCTTGTCTACTGGGGCCAGGAGGCGGCTGGAAGGTCCGGGCTCCGTGGCGGTGCCGCCCCAAGCCAAAGCCTGGCACCTGGGCTGATCCCCTGTGGGGTCCGGTGTCTCTCCCGGTCCGTGCGCCCGATTCCCCCTCGCCTGGGCGGGGGCGGTCTCCTTCCGTCCCTCCCCGCGCCGGGAGCCGTGTGCCAACTCGCCCTCCCTAACTCCTCCGCTGCGGCTCCTGCTCTTTCTTCTTCTGCTTCTGCTTCTCCCTCTGCTTCTCCACCTTCTCCTGGGCTTTCCGCTCCTTCTCCACCGCCACGCTCAGGTCCTTCAGCTTGCGCTTCAGCAGGGCCCGGTCGGTGGAGCTGCTGACGCCGAGGGCCTGGAGGAGGCAATGGGGTGTGGTGTGCGTTGGGGGGTGCCTCAGGGTTATAACCACGGCCCTTCCCACCCCCACCCGCCTGGAGCAGCACCCGGCTGGGGAGAGACGGGCTCCAGGGGAGGGCGCTGGGGGCTCCAACGAAGGGGGAATTGGGTTAACTCCTCGAGTAGCCCGGTGGGATGCACTGCTGGCCCATCTAGATCAGTAGCCATCAGGGCCCCCAGGACAGCATCCTCCCTCCTGCCCCAGTACATCAAAGGGAGTGGCCCCTCTTGCTGGGGGAAGGCAATGCCGCCCCAAACCCCCCTGGGGGAGGGATGTCTGCAGGGCGCAAGGTCCGACCCCGGAGCCCCGCTCGCAGCTGCCGCAGGACCCAGGAGCCGCGGGGCAGGCCCCCCCACCTCCACCCCTACCTTCAGCTTGGCTCCATCCAGCTGCAGCAGTTGCTGGCCGTCCACCTCGCGGGCTGCGAACTCGCCCACGTACTGCTCCAGGTTCAGGCTCTCCAGCCACTGGCCCACTTGCTGGCTGCTCCAGCTGGTGGCGGCGCTGAGGGGCTCGTCCAGGAACTGCAGGAGGCAGAAAGGGGGGGGAGGGGTGAGCACCAGTGGGGGTTACCCGCCCCCCAAGTCAGGGTGCCCCAGCAGGGATCCTTCAGAAGTTCCTCCCAGCCTGGCCAACTTTCTAATCCCTGAAAGCGGAACACCTCTCTCCCGCCCCTTCCCTGTGAAGCCCCACCCCCTGCCCCGCCCCTTCCCTGTGAAGCCCCACCCCCTGCCCCGCCCCTTCCTCTGAGGCCCCGCCTGTTCCCCCCACCCCCCCATCGCTCGCTGTCCACCCCTGCCCCCGTCGCTCACTCCCACATCTCCCGGGACTCACCTGCAGAGCTGGGCTGGGAGGAACTGACGCGGACCCTGCCTAATCAGGGCACAGCCGGGCATGGCAGGGGGGTCCCCAGAGTGAGGGGCTGGGGAAATTGGGGCACAGTGGGGCAGGGGGGGTCCCCTGGAGCGAGGAGCTGGGCTGGGGAAATCGAGGCACGGCTGGGGTAAGGGGCAGACAGGTTACACACACACCCCCCAGATGGCGCCAGTCCCTCCAAGTTCTCTCGGTCAGGCTGGGGGCCGGGGAAGAGCAGCCGCTGCTAGCCGAGCCCCCCACCTCCAGGCTCCAGCTGCTCTTCCCGCCCCTCGGGGGCCGGTTCCCGCAGGTAACTGCACTTTTAATGTCGCTGCCAGTTTCCCTTTCAACACCCGGCAGCCCTGGGACACCCCCCGCCCCAGGCCTGGCAAAGGATCTGCAACTCCATGGGGCCCATGGACGGCGTCACCCCAGCCCTGGGGCCCAGGAGCGGAGCGGCAAAAGCCCCCTTGCTGTCGGATTTGGCCGACCGGCTCCCCCAGGTTGCCCCCCTCCGCTGCCCCGGCGGGCTCACCTCGTCGGAGGACTGGGACAGCGTGTGGTAGGGGTAGGAGCATTTCGTCTCGCTGGCGCCGCTGCTCAGCGTCTTGGGGCTGCTGCTGGGTGGGGTGGAGTCGTCGCTCAAGGTGGAGTCCTGCCCGCAGGGAAAGGCCAAGGCATGAGCAGGGTGCCAAAAACTGCAAAAAACCCTGGCACCCCGCCCACGAAGGCAACTCCACCCCCCACCCCCCAAGAGCCACTGACAGTCTCTAGGGCGAAAAGATGGAGAACGTCATTGTCTCACTCACACTGCAGCCGGGGGAACCCGGCAGCATCTTTAGCTGGGGCCAGAAACTTTGACCCTGGGCTAGCCCAGGGTCTGGTGAGAATAATGCAAATCTTCACACCCATGTGAAAAAACCAGCGGATTCAATGATTATTCTGGCCACTGGCAAAGCCATAAAAAAACCGGCCAAAATGATCAAGTACCAGCCAGGTGGTAACCCAAGGTGTGAACGAGGGGCCTGCCCTGCAAAGGGTCATGACAGGACTATGGCCCCGCCCCGGGCCCTACAGGGGGCTCGGCCCCGCCCCCAGGGCAGCGCTGCCCCTGGCCCTACAGGGTGAGGCGGGGATGGGTTCTGACCTGGGAGCAGATTTCTTGGGGCTTAAGCCCCTGGCCCTACAGGGTGAGGCGGGGATGGGTACTGACCTGGGAGGCAGATTTCTTGGGGCTTAAGCCCTCCCTCTTGGGCGAGCGGGTCGGGGAGACGGTGCTGCCGGACGAGGCCGAGCCCTTCCCACTGTCCATGAACCAGGAGAAGGGCATGAACGGGGACACGGACGAGCGGCTGCAGCCCTCCGCCAGCTCCCTGGGGAAAGAGCCGGCAGGCGGGTTAGCACCCTCGCTCCCCTCGCTCCCAGGGGGCCAGCAGGGGGGCCGGGCTCCCCGGAGCATCTGAGCTGCCAGATGTGACCAGACTCCACCCCACTGAGCCCAGCCCGGGTCTGGATCTATCCAGGGCACCCAGACCATCCCCCAAGTCCTCTATCTCCCTGATTCCTTCATCTCCCCTCTCTGCCAGTTTCTCATCTCTCCATCTCTTGAGTGTATTGAGCTCTCTCTGTTCCTCTCCTTGTGGCTCCGTGCACCCCAGCTCCATCAATGAAAGTGAACACATTCTCCCATCCGCACCTCCCTGTCCCTCCCTCTCTGGGTCTCAGCTGCTCCAGGGCCCTTGACAAGTCACCCGGGTCTTTGGAGACCAGGCTGAGCTCCGTGCTTGTCAGGGCAGAGGGGTGGGCACGTTCCTCGGGAGGTGGGGACGGCCGAGTGCCCCCTGGCGATAGAAAAGCCAAGCGGATGAACGGGACCCACTGAGGAAGGCAGGGCAGGAGGGGGTGGGTGTGATTGTGGGGTTCAGGGAGATGTTGTTGGCTGTGGTTTGTGAGAAGCTCAGGATCGGGGGAGGCTGGCAGCTCCCCACCTGCTCCCCATGGACAACCGGTTGCTCCCCTTCTCTTTCCTGCTTTTGCTGGAAGAGGCTCGTCTCAGGGTCACCCTGCGGCAGAGAGAGAGGAGGCTCGTTAGTGGCGTGCTGGGGGGTGGGGGCGCCTGTGGGCTGGGGAGAGATGGGCACCGGGCACACAGGGAGGCAGATCAGAGGAGGGTGAGGACAGGGTAGCAGGATGAAAAGAAAAATTTAGACAGACAGCAGAGAATCTATCCATCCAAACCCAATACACACCCCTCTATCCATTCACCCATCCATCCCCATACCCACCCCTCTATCCATCTGTCTGTGTCCCCCCCACCTCTATCCATCCATCCAAACCCCATACCCACCCCTCTATGCATTCACCCATCCAAACCCCATACCCACCCCTCTATCCATTCACCCATCCATCCCCATACCCACCCCTCTATCCATCTGTCTGTGTGTCCCCCACACTTCTATCCATCCATCCAAACCCCATACCCACCCCTCTATCTATCTGTCCCCATACACACCCCTCTATCTATCCATCTGTCTGTCGCCACACACACCTCTATCCATCCATCCCCATACACACCCATCTATCCATCTGTCTGTCTGTCCCCATACATACACCTCTATCCATCCATCCATCCCCATACACACCCCTCTATCTATCCGTCTGTCTGTCCCCATACATACATTTCATCCATCCATCTATCCCCCCGCACACCTCTATCCATCCTCATACATACCCTTCTATCTATCCAGCCAGCCAGCCAGGCATCTGTCTGTCTGTCCCTCCCCATAGATGCCCCTCTATCCATCCACCCTCACCCCCCCCTCGACCTTCCTTGGTCCCTGGGAGATGTGGCTCCATGTCTAGTTGGCAGCCGGTTTCAAGCGGAGTGCCCCAAGGGTCGGTCCTGGGGCGGTTTTGTTCAACATCTTCATTAATGATCTGGAGGACGGCATGGACTGCACCCTCAGCAAGTTTGCAGATGACACTAAACTGGGAGGAGTGGTAGATACACTGGAGGGTAGGGATAGGATACAGAGGGACCTAGACAAATTAGAGGATTGGGCCAAAAGAAATCTGATGAGGTTCAACAAGGACAAGTGCAGAGTCCTGCACTTAGGATGGAAGAATCCCATTCACTGCTACAGACTAGGGACCGAGTGGCTAGGCAGCAGTTCTGCAGAAGAGGACCTAGGGGTTACAGTGGACGAGAAGCTGGATATGAGTCAACAGTGTGCCCTTGTTGCCAAGAAGGCTAACAGCATTTTGGGCTGTATAAGTAGGAGCATTGCCAGCAGATCGAGGGACATGATCATTCCCCTCTATTCGACATTGGTGAAGCCTCATCTGGAGTACCGTGTCCAGTTTTGGCCCCACACTACAAGAAGGATGTGGAAAAATTGGAAAGAGTCCAATGGAGGGCAACAAAAATGATTAGGGGGCTGGAGCACATGATTTACGAGGAGAGGCTGAGGGAACTGGGATTGTTTAGTCTGCAGAAGAGAAGAATGAGGGGGGATTTGATAGCTGCTTTCAACTACCTGAAAGGGAGGTTCCAAAGAGGATGGATCTAGACTGTTCTCAGTGGTGCCACATGACAGAACAAGAAGCAATGGTCTCAAGTTGCAGTGGGGGAGGTCTAGGTTGGATATTAGGAAACACTATTTCACTAGGAGGGTGGTGAAGCACTGGAATGGGTTACCTAGGGAGGTGGTGGAATCTCCATCCTTAGAGGTTTTTAAGGTCAGGCTTGACAAAGCCCTGGCTGGGATGATTTAGATGGGAATTGATCCTGCTTTGAGCAGGGGGTTGGACTAGATACCTCCTGAGGTCCCTTCCAACCCTGAGATTCTATGATTCTAAGACACAGAGCATAGGCAGCCAGGGAACCAATGGTAACGTGGGTCCTACCCAGACAGCAGGGGCTTCCCCTCCAGAGTTCGTGGGACTCACCCCAAATCCAGGAACTTCCTCCGGGTCTTCTTGTCAAGCCCGATGGTGGGGCTGGCGGGCTCTGACGGGCTTGTGTCATCTGGGGCAGAGAGAGATCAAAGGCGCTGGGAGATCGTCCCCTGGGCTGGTGGGGATAGGCCCCGGGGATCCCTCTGAGGTTGGCAGTGGCCCCCCAGCAAAGTCCTGCCAAGGGAGCTCCCAGGCCGGTTTAAGGGAAAGCCTGGGAGATCTGGGCCCTGGGGAGTTCTCCAGCTCAGCGCGAAGGTGTTTTCCCTTCCCAAGCACAGGCAATCCCAGCTCTGTAAAAATGGGCTCCCCGACCCCCAGCCCTGCCGGGGGCACTGGACAGGCCCAAACCTCAGTGCTGCCTGGCAAAACCACCAGGTACCAACTGGGACTCGGGCATTGCAGCCCATGACCCAATCCAGAGGGGCCTCGCTGTTAGCTAGGGCACTGCCCAGCCCTGCTGCAGAGAAAGGGGCAGGAGCGTTGGCTGTGGGGAGAGCTCCCAGCTACTCCAGCCCCAGCCTCTCCCAGCAGGGGGTGCTGTAGGGAGCAGGGCAGGTAATGCTGTGGAAGGGTTTCCTGTGTAAAGGTGGCTCCCCCATGCAGCCATTACCTTCGCTGTGCCGCTCGGCCCGGCGGTCCCTCCGGGTGTAGATGGGCGAGCTGTCCGAGCTGTGGCAGGACTTGGGGGGCGAGCCGGTGGGGGTGCATCCCAAGGCCTCTTGGGAGGAAGCGTTGGTCAGGGGCCGGTAGCGGATCAGCGGGGACGAAGGCTGCTCGTCCTCCTCCAGCGACCTCCTGACCACGGAGGCGTCGAAGGAGAACTCGGTGGCGCGGAGGAAGGGGGAGGAGCCGGAGAGGGGAGAGGAGACCTGCAGGGTGGCGTGCAGCGGGGATCTCAGACGGTGCCGCGGGCTGCCATATTTATCGGCCACCTGTGCGTGGGAGGCAGGGGGGTCAGCAACAGGAAAGACCCTGGGAACCCCCGCCCCTGGGAACTGCTGCATTGATAGGGGGGACAAGGGTGAAGCCCCCTATTTATCCGCAGTGCTGGAGCAGGGGCAGGGGCAGGGCAAGCTGCTCCCCCCCCCCCGCCACTGGTGAGCGCCAACCCGGACCCGCAGGGACCCTCGCTATGGGCCCATCAGGGAGCCGCGCCTTCCATAGCGGTTGCCAGGTGTCCGGTCGAAACAGGGAACCTGGCAGGGAGCTGACCGGAGGCTCAAAGTCCAGTTGGCTGCAGTAACCGGCCTCCGCCCCTGGGGGGTGGGAAGAGCGGCCTCTGCTCAGCTGATGATGCTGGAGGGGGAGCAGTGGCTGGCTTCCAGACCGGGCTGCAAGAGGTAGGTGCCGCCGTCCGGGGGTGGGAGTGGGGGGAGGATCCTGGCCACCCCCCCTCTGCTCCACCATGCCCCGATTGCCCGGCCCCTTGCTACGGGGACTGACCCCCGATCTGCCCCGATTGGGCAGGCTCGGCGTCAGTTCCCCCCAGCCTGGCTCTGCACCCAGCAGGTGAGTCCTGGGGTGCGGGTAGGGGTGGAGAGAGAGTGGTGGAGGGAGGGGTGAGAGGAGGGAGGGGGCGGGGCCCCAGGGAAGAGGTGGAGCCGGGGGCGGGACAAGGGTATTCGGTTTTCAGCCATTAGAAAGTTGGCAACCCTAGGTAGCCTCCTAGTGCACAGGGCTTGCCACCATAGAACAGGCCACTGGGCAGCTAGTCTGGTATCTCCCCTCCTGCCTCACTGGACCAGACCATTGCTGGTATCCCCCCTCCTGCCCCACTGGACCAGACCATTGGTCCAGCTCCTCTAGTATCCCCTCTCACCCCCCATTGGATCAGGCCACTGGTTGATCAATCCCAGTCACCTGCCTGCAACCGCAGCCAGGCGCGGAAACCCTGCAGGAGGCAGTTCTGGAACAACCCGTCCTTAAGGACTGTTCCCTCCTGACCCCCATCTGCTAGAGCTCAGCTCCTGCCCTGAAGCAGGAAGGTGTATAGCCCCTCCCAGTCACTCTGCTGAGTCTTGTTCTCCGTAGCAATGTCCCGTCCGGGGCCCTGCCAGGCTCACGGGCCGCCCGGCTGAAGCATTAGTCCCTGGCCATTGGCTACTGCGCCAGAGCCTGACCCGCTGGGAGCAGGTGGCAGGAGAGCCCACCAGGAGGGCCAATGCAGCACCCGGCCGGATAGAGGATTTGATGGACCCAGGGTCTGATCCAGCGTGGCAGATCCTGAGCTCCTATGGCCCAAGAGAGAGGAGAGGGAGCAGCCATTCTGGGTGCAGGCCTTGGGGACGGTCTCCTTTGACCCGGAGCTCCAGTCACCCCGGCCCACCTCGCGTGGAACGACGCAGCCAGCCCCCCGCCCGGGCCCGGGCCCGGGCTCACCTTCCTCTCCAGGCTCTCGTCCCCTTCCGCCGAGCTGACGCTGTCTCTCAAGCGGGACCGGGACGGGCGGTGCCGCCTGCCCTTGGCCGACAGCTGGGCTCGGGCCTTCTGCAAACTGCTGTCCAGTCTCTGGGTCTCTGGAATCACATCATTAAAATCTGGGAGTGAAAGAGAGAAGGGGGGCGGAGAAGTGGGAGAGCGAGAGAGAGCAGACAGACGGACGGATGGGGCGGTGGGGGGCACACAGAGGGACAGGGAGCACAGGGGGTTGGGAGAGAGCGAATGGGACAGAGCAGGGGGAGAGGAGAGGAAAAGAGAAAGAATGAATGGAAGACAAAGGAAAGGGGGGGGGGCAGTGTCCCAGCCAGGGACAAAGAGGAGGGAGAGGGTGGAACAGGGGGAGAAAGAGAGAGAGTTCAGAGAAGAGACGCACAGCAATGGCCATTTCAGTCCCCCCGCCCCAGCTCCCCCCCAGATCATCTCTCCCTCTCCCCCCTGCTGCAGCTGGGAACTGCTTGGGCCAAGCTGCCCTAGACACATGGGGCTGGGGTTCCCCTCGAGCTCAGGGACATCGGGGCCTGAGCACGCTGGAGAATCCAGCTGCCCGCCGAGCTCTTCTGAGACAATTGCACCCCCCGTAGGGAAGCAGCCCGCCCCATCGCACAGGGCTACCCTGCCAGAGTTTGCAGAGTGGCTGATTCCTGGGGCGGGGAAATCGCTGCCCATCCGCCTCCCATCTCGCTGCTGCTGCCTGGGGCCAGCTGAGCTCACGGCCGACGGACGCCCCCAATGACTGGCCTTTCGTTGCCACCAAATGCCTCCCTCCGTCACCTCCATTAAAGCCCACAGCCCCCGCGCCTCCCAGGCCCCAGGGCGGCTCTGATTTCCTTGCAAAAGGGTGACCTGGCATCTTGGTGCCTCTGGGGACCATGTGGGGGCACCGGGCACTGCGGGCTGCACCCAGGCAGGGAGCAAAGAGCAGAACTGGGTGAAGGCTGTGATGGGCGATCTGACTCAGCTGCGACGGGCCCCTCTTGTATTTGCTTTCTACAAGGGCAACTGCTGGTGCCCAGGGCCGACGAAAGGGGGGGGGGGGAAGCCGGTACAAATTACCGGGGCCCGCCGGTCCGGAAGGGGGCCCAGGGCCCGGCCGGGCCCGGCCGGGCTCCCCCCCCCTTCTTGGCCCTTGCTGGGGAGCCCTGAAAAAAAATTTTCACCGGGGCCTGAACCCGCTCTCAGCGGCCTTGCTGGTGCCCGGCCATGCCGGGCTGGGTTCCTCATTGCCCCGCACGCCCACCGCTTGCGCTGGTGCCCTCCCAGCGAGCCAGACCGTCTCCCGCCTGCGCGGCTCTGGCTCATTGGAGGAAGGCGGATCGTGTGAGCGACCCGCACAGCTGGGCTGATTCGAGCGAGGAATCTGCGAATCGTTTGGGGTAACGGACACGCTAGCGGGCTTTGCAGTCTGACAGCTGCCGGCACAGAGAGACGGAAGTGACTCGCCCAAAATCACAAAGGGGGGGGGGCGTGGGCAGAATGGGGGGGGTACAACCCGGGCGTCCTGCCTCCCAGTGGCCCCTGTTCTAACCACTAGACCACACTCCCCTGCCAGAGCTGCATATGGAACCCAGGAGTCCTGCCTCCCAGTGGCCCCTGTTCTAACCACTAGACCGCACTCCCCTGCCAGAGCTGTGTATGGAACCCAGGAGTCCTGCCTCCCAGTCCCCTACTATAACCACTAGACTGCACTCCCCTGCCAGAGCTGTGTATGGAACCCAGGGGTCCCAAGCAGAAGCACCAGCATTTCAGCGTTCAGATCAGCTTCGGCTGCACCACGACCGGGCTGTGTCTCTTCAAAGCCCCTGCAGAGAGCACCCAGGCCCGACTCAGGTGAGGTCCTCAAGCCAGTTTGCCTCCTTGTGTTAGAGCCCATCCAGGAAACGCCTCCCCAGGGCAGCACATGATGCGGGGGGGGCGGGGGGGGGAGACAGAATAGTGCTGAAATCAGGGCGAGAGCTCGTGGAGTAGCCACCAGCCTTCATGCCCGCAGCGCACGCACGGCCTCCTCATCCTGCCTTGATTTCCCCCCGTTTTTTCCTCCCTCTCTCACGGGGACACCGGCCCGAGGTCTCCCACTGGTGCTTGTAGAGTCTTAGGCATGTGCGTTTGCACACTCTGGCGTGTGCACATGTCCACGCCCAAGCTCCCAGGTGGATGCACTCACCCGCACATGTGAGTACATTCACTCACGCACGCTCACTGTTCCACACCGAGGACCCGCAGCCACTCTGCCTACCCCAGGAGACTCAGCGGGCACATCTCCGGGAGTTAAACGGCTCAGCGCCCCAGGGGACCTGGAATGAGTTTTAAATCCAACCGAAGCCGCGTTTAGCCAGGGCAGCGGGGCTGCCAACCCTGCCCCGTGACTGCCCTGATCCTCCCGGGCAGAAACACCAGCAAACCCCGTCAGTTCAAAGGGAAGACAACGTCCAGCCGTGGAAACGACAAGCTAATCTGAAGGAATTTTCCCCCAGCGAGCTGAGAGCTGGGGCTTGGGTGAGGGGGGCGCTGGTTTATGGGCAGAAACGATGGATTTAGTAAATCTCCCAGTGGTCGGAGCTGCCTGGAAATCCTTATCATTATGGAGGGTGCCTGCCCCGTTATTGTTAACACAGAGGGCCCTCTCCAGCACTGCCTGGCAGCCCCTTTGTGCCCACGAGGCACGTCGGGGAGGCACCGGGGGGACTGCAGGAAGGAACCGCGTCTGGGGGCAGAGCCGGCTCCATAGCAGGGGGCGGGCTGGGGGTAGAGTGGAGACCAGGCAGAGGCGGGAGGGGTCGTGGTCGAGGTGGGGCTTGCTCCAGTCGTTCTGCACCCTGCCAAGCCCCCCCCCCCCCCCGGTGGGTCAGGACTGCTGGGTTAAATTCCCAGCTCTGCCTCCACACGATTCTGGGCAAGTTGCTTACATTTATCTGTGCCTCAGTTTCTCCATCTGTGAAATGGGGCTAATACTGTCTCCCACAGGGGTTAGCTAATGCTTGTAAAGCGCTGAGTGTGTCCGGGGACAGGCGCAGCACAAGCCGGTGTACACCCCCCAACTAGGCTTGGCTCTCCCTTGCCCTGCACTATGCCCAGGCATTTATACCAGTGTCCAGTGGGTGTGACTGCTGTCACTCTGGTTCGGGAGGATTTATACGCCCATTGCACTGTGTAAACAGTCACACATGGACAGCGAATCAGGCCCCAGAGACACACCTAGAAATCCACGCCCACAAAGAAGCACCCCCATTAACACCCCCAAATATCATTTCACACTTAACCCTCCCGACACATGCAGATAGTTGCACATGCCAGTGTGACCCCTTTGCACCCCTGAGAAGTGTGCAGCCACGCAGGGGGGAGGGATAGCTCAGTGGTTTGAGCATTGGCCTGGTAAACCCAGCGCTGTGAGTTCAATCCTTGTAGGGGCCATTTAGGGATCGGGGGCAAAAAATCTGTCTGGGGATTAGTCCCCCTTTGAGCAGGAGGTTGGACTAGATGATCTCCTGAGGTCCCTTCCAACCCTGAGATTCTATGATTCATGCCTCTTTGCTGGCACCTACGCTGTGCCATGCCGGGGACTTTCAGCCCCAGTGGCAAAGGCTGCAGCAGAGAGTGGGTTGGGCTGAGCTAGAAGATCTGCACTCGCCGGAGTGACAGGCCCGGAAAAATCCTAGCGCAGAGCCGGCCTTTATTCAACACAGCCCACCTGGGACGCACACCTCTCATTGCCATGCACGAGGGTATGCGCACACCTACAGAGAGGATGGTCTATAAAGCGCTGCTCAAGAAATCCATCCCCGCTCCCCCGGCTGACGATCCAATTTACAAAGCAGCCGCGGCCTGAGACCATCCATTATTGCCCATAAACCCGTCATCCCCAGCGGATGGAGCTAGAATCCGCTGCTAAAGGGGGAAGCTCCCTTCCATCCCTCGCAGCTGAGAGGGGCTTTTCCCAGAGCTACCTTGCCAAAGGGGCTTATGGGGTTTTAGCCAGCCCCCCCCCCCCCCATCAAAGCCAAAACACACCTGCTACCCTAAGCCTCTGTCCTGGGCCCCTCCCACCCCCACAGCCTGGCCAGTGCAGGATCTTTTAGGGGCAGGGCCTGGAGAAACTGATCCTCACAAAGCGGGGAAGGGAAGGGAAGGGGAGGGACCTTTTGGCTGAAATGTTGGCCAGTGAAGAGTTTCTGCCACGTGGGGCCAGTGGCCAGGCTGGCACGTGGCACCTCAGCAAGGGACAGATTGCCCGGTGTCCCCGGCAGCTCCTAGTGTGATACCGATAGCCAGATTTTCACTGAGAGCATTTGGGTGCGTAGGACAGCGTTGTACTTACTGCCAGTGCTGGGGGGACACCGGGGGTAGTACTGCACTGCCAGCACCAGGGGGCGCTTGGCCCAGTACCACTCTGCCAGTGCTGGGGGTCACTCCAGGTGGCACTGCACTGTCAGTGCAGGGGGGAGGAGGGTCACTGCCAGTGCTGGGGGCACATCGGGGGTAGTACTGCACTGCCAGCACCAGGGGGCGCTTGGCCCAGTACTGCACTGCCAGTGCTGGGGGTCACTCCAGGTGGCACTGCACTGTCAGTGCAGAGGGGAGGAGGGTCACTGCCAGTGCTGGAGTGGGGGTGTCATTCCAGATGCCACTGCTTTGCTAGCGGGGGGAAGGGCACTGCCAGTGCTGGGGGGGTTACTCCAGATGCCACAGAACTTCCAGAGGGGTGGCACTGCCAGTGCTGGGGGGCACTACAGATGGCACTGCCAGAATTAGGGGACATCTGGGTCAGCACTGCACTGGGGGTCACTCTGGAGCCCACAGGCCCTGGGGGACACTGCAGACAGTGCTGCACCGCTGGTGGCTTTTACCCACCCCCCATCGCACACGCAGATCACCTATCCATTTGCCCTGAGGTATGTTTGCACACTCACACCTACACACACTGGCACACTCATTCACCTGTGTGCCAACAGGAGGTGGCTGTGCAGCCATTCGGGGAGGGATTACCCCTGTCCCCCTGGTGTACCCCACTTCCTCTGAGAGCCACATCAGTCGGGCCTCATCTAGGGGGACCTGCCAGAGACTAGCCCCCCCTCCCAATCCTGCACCACGGGAGCTCACCCCATAAGCCCAGAGCCCTTGGGTGCTCGGCCTGTCACCCTGAAGCGTCAGTGATTAGCCAGCTCCAGTTCCCCCTTCCTGAGAGCAGCTGAGTCAATGGACGATTCCTAAATTGGGGGTGGGGAGGCAAATAGAGCAGAGATGCGGGGGAGGGGGTCACCACACCAGACAGAACCAGGATCTCCTGAAACGTCACCCCAGTTCGGATACGGGCTCCTCTCTGTAACCGTGGTCAAGTCTCCCCACACCTCAGTTTCCCCTAGCTTAGTGCTGGTTAATACTCCAAAAGGGCTGGGACCCTGGGGTGTTAATTACTACGGGTGTGTTTTGTCCTCAAAGGGTTAACACACACACACATACCCCACTAAAAATCATATACCGCTCCACACACACACACCCTACAGCTACAAACACCCCATCACACACGCGCACACAGTTCCATACACACACACACGGCACCCCCCCACCCAGTCTCTCATCCCAGCCCCCTCTGCCTTCCCTGCATACAGAGCAGGGAGCTGCCTTCTGGAGGTCATGAATACTTAACCAGGTGTGTGTGGGCACACACACACACACACACACACACACACACACACACACACACACAC